ATTAAAGCCTGAAAGAGGGATGCAGGAATAGGTATATGCAGAACTACCCAAGTCATAGAACCCGCAGATAGCATATTTTTTAAAGATGTTGCAAGACTTTAGTTCTCACGTGCGTGCGCAACACCCGTCATCACTGTAGCGATTCCTTCAGGAATCTCTCACTTGGTCCTTCGGCGCTTCTGCGAGTCCGGCAGAGCTTTCCCTTTAGGAGTTGCTTTGGCTTTCGCTTTAGCCTTGGCGGCAGCAGGGGGTCCCGTCGTGTCAGGCGCATTCTTGTCGTTCTTCTCGTAGTGCTTCTTGGCATTCCTGCATCAGCAGCTAACATAGCTATTTAATTGATCAAGACGGCATAACTTTGAGGGCTTTGCTGTGAAAATGCATGGACCGTGTAATATCCCTCGCCTGATCCGAAGCTCGCTTGCTGTAGCACGGCTTGACCTTACGTAGGAGCATCAACTATAATTTGCAAACAGATCGCAAACTTGCTAGGGCCACTTGAGGGGCTCACGCATATGTAGCAGCCTTCATCAGCTTCTCAGCCGATGCCCACCACCTCACGGATTGTAGCTACATTCATGGTTTCACTACAGTCCATTACAGGTGCATGCTGTGAGCAACACGAGAGATGATGCTGAGATTTGCACGTTGCACCGAAGCCAGCAAGCTCACCCTTCGCCATCTCCAAGTTCATCTTGTCGTGTTCCGATTCCAAGGTCTGGACGTGGGTGTGCAAAGTTGCGATGGACCTCGGAAGGCAGAGCGATGGGTTCCGGGTTATACATCTTTCGGGGTTGCACTGCAAGGCAAGACGTCAGAGCCCAGGCGATTCATGCTCAGTGTCGACGTTTTGTTGCAAAGGTTTGCTCTCTAGATTTCCAATTAAGGATCTAGAAAGGGTTAGAATCGGGTTTAGGGTTTGTGGGGTTATAACGATTGATTGTGGACTTCTAGTAATGTGTATATATACATATACGAAATGTAGCATCATGTCCGTTAATTGAGATCGTGCACCGACACAAAGCATATTTTAGGGTGTAGGGTTTAGGGTCTTGGGTTTAGGGTTTAGGGTTTATAGGGTTTAGGACTATTCAGGCTCAATTAAATTGATTGCGGATCAACTGAGACCCACTCTCTACGGAGTCTGCTGCCTCCCCATAGTTTTTCTTCAAGTCCTTGATCAAAGATCTGAGCTTGGAGGTCTTCTGCAAGAGGCTCTCCATAAACTTCTCGAAGACCGATTTTTGCTGCACAGGTCAGGGAATATGCGGGGACTGCACCGAACACTGCACAGCTTCACTCATGATTCCCATTGCGACACATAGAGAGAGAGAGGGAGAGTGCCAGAGAGAAACCAAGAGAGAGAGAGAGAGAGAGTACATTTGTATGTCTATGTGTATTTGGGTAGGTGTGGAAATAGGATCCCTATTTGCATTTCATACGAAGATACCGAACAGATTATGTTTTGTATACATATATATTCTTGTGCTTCTTACTGGGTGCGTGTGTGGGTGTGCTCGCGCTTTGTTTAGACGGTCATTCTCTCTTTCTCTCTCTCTCTGTCGTCTGTCTGTGCAGATACACATGCTATTTGTTGTGGGGCTATGGGCATTCTTTGTATATGTTTCCGCGTGTTTGGGTGTTTAGGCTTGCGTGCACGTGCGTGTGTGTGCGTGTGGCGTGTGTGTGTGTGTGTGTGTGGATTGGGGCGGGTACGTATGCGTATGTGCACATACGTATGTATATATACATACATACATATATATATATATGTGTGTGTGTGTGTGACACTGTGTGTGTGTGTGACACTGTGTGTGTGTGTTTGTGCGTGTGGTGCGTGAGGCAAAGGACGGCACTCCATGGAAGCAACACACATGTGGGCCTCAACCTCAGACTGGTTGACGGACTTGGCGTTCTCTTGCTGATGTGCATCCATACGCTGTTGCATATCCCCCACAGCACCGAAAGCACCAGGCGTAAGTTCCACCGGATCCTCTGCCTCGTGCGAGTTTTGGTGCTTCGATCACTCATGCAGATTGTAAATCATGCCCAGAAATCATACGGGATATGCAGGGGCCTGCCGCGTGTCACGTCGGATTTCTTCTTCCGTCAAACTCTCGGAATGCTTGCCAGTTTCTCTGACCACAACCCAGTACTCCAAGCACCCGTCATACATATTCCTCCTGCATGACAGTTTCTGCAAAGTGCGTGCCTACATCGTATGACAGTACTGTGGACGTCTACTGCAGTAGCCTAGACCGCAACACAAGCAGCGTCCGGATGTGCGTCGACGGTGTCTTCTGGCACAAGGCGATGGCGCCCTGGATCCGGGCCCTGAGCTCACAACAACAAGAGGAAAGAACATGCTTCATTACTGCACACAACTGAGCACATCATGCACATGATGTCATATGTTCTGTATGCAGCTTGAAGACGCACTCCATCCTAAGTCGTTTTTCATCTCACTTTCGGCATACCAACCGGCTTCCTTCACCACCTCGATGGTGCGGCTCTTGCGTATCACCAGCTCGAGCTGGTTCACGAAGCGGCCCTGAAGCAAGAGCGAGCAAAGCAGTGTACATCGGTTTGCACAAACATAGCATGGCGTAGTACTCTGCAGGGAACAACACGAGGGCACAAGTTAGCATGGCTGATCAGTCTAAGTCTAGTCACCTTGTCCCAGTTCACCTCCATAAGTAGGCTCGCCATTTGATCTTTGCTTGCACTGCCACCTTTCTGCCATTCCTGCTGGACGAAGGCTGGCACCTCGAGATCAGTCCTGGACTTGTGGGGCTTGATCATTCTGCGGATGCGCTGCTTGGCCGCGTTGCGCAGGAGTTCCTTGGGTATGCAAACGCAAAACCATTATCAAATATAAAGCTGATCGATGCAATCGTGCACAGCCGACCATACTGATAGATGAGTGTTATGGCAATTGCAGCAAGAGTCCCTTCTGGTAAGAGGTCGCCTCGGTCTCTTGAGACCCCTAGTCAAGGGCTTCCCTGGCATCGGTGGTTGCTCCTCGTGAACATCCTCGTCATCTAGCTCCGGACAGCTGTCCGAGTCATTCCCGGCTGCCTCAGATAAGATTTCATTAGCAAAGTAGCGTGTAACAATGCTCACACTAACACTACATGTGTGCTATCGTAATGACAGCAATTTGAAGCCGTGCAGCTGCTGCCAAAGCTGCTTCGTTGAAGAACAGAGACCCCGGCTCCTTCGACAATGGGCCTTTGTCGATCGGAGCCGAACGAACTGGTGTGGGAACGACCCCAGGCCTCTGAGAACCACTTTGCTTGTCCCCTTGAGATCCACTAGGCCCCACCCCAAGCGCTTGAGATCCATTCGGCATGACCCCAGTAGGCATTTGAGATCCATTCGGCATGACCCCAGGCATTTGAGATCCATCCGGCATGACCCCAGGCATTTGAGATTCATTGGGCACGACCCCAAGCATTTGAGATCCATTGGGCATGACCCCAGGCATTTGACATCCATTAGGCATGGTCTCAGGCATCTGAGACCCAAGGGTATCACCACCGTTCTCCACGAACGTAGGCTGAGAGCCCAAGTCCACAATAGCACCATTCTCGGCCAACGTTGTTTGGGAACTGAATGTAGGTGCACGATGGAGCATAGCCTGCCAAGTGCCGTCTGTTCCCTATAATAGTTTGAATAATACAATTAACATTACTGTACCCTACCTTGTAGCGAAACAATGCACCACAGCTTGCCTTGCCTGGCTTTCGAGCAGACCCGGAACTGTCGTTAAGGAAGAAATCGAAGCAGCATCCTGCCACTCTATCGAAACCGGATTTCTCATCGAACTGCTCAGGATTCCCGAGCCTCCTCTGGCGTCCGGCCAGAGCCTTGCGCATTGCACAGCTCCAGCTGTAGATCCTTCGGGGCCAAGAGGAGGTTCGAAAATGAAGTTTCGGGGTTTCGGGGTTAGGGGTTTAGGGGTTTAGGGTTTCGATTGTTAAGGGGTTCCAGTGGTTTGTGTATCGAGAAACTTCCCCAGGTGCTGCTAAGAACTGCAGAGTGTCTAGTAGTCGTAGTCGTCGTAGTAGTAGTAGTAGTAGTAGTAGTAGTAGTACTAGTAGTAGAAGTAGTAGTAGAAGTAGTAGAAATAATAATAATAATAGTAATAGTAATAGTAGTAGTAGTAATAGTAATAGTAGTAATAGTATTAATAGTAGTAGAACTAGTAGTAGTAGTAGTAGTAGTAGTAGTAGTAGTAGTAGTGATGGTGGTGATGGTGGTGGTAGTAATAGTACTATACTAGTACTAGTACTAGTACTAGACGAGTAATAGTTCTAGTGCTAGTACTAGTACTAGTAATAGTAGTAGTAGTAGTACTAGTAGTACTAGTAGAAGTAGTAGTAGTA